AGCCCTAATTCATATTGTCGCTGAAATACAAAAAGCCGTAACTAGGTACAAATTGTTTATGGGCCATTCCATTGTAACTAGTAGGACATTTTACTCCAGAATGTGACCAATTGTGCACTTTAACTATGTCGTCGGAACTTATAAAACAACGAAACATATTTTTAACATGAGCAATAACTAATGTATAAAATCGCTTTTATTAAAATACCAACCGTTTTCTTAGTTGTATGTAACTATCATATGACTAACTGTGACTGGTGGGACACTGAAAAGAACTTTACCATTGTGCGCTCAAACATGAGTTTTAGCCAAATCTTAGTTTAACTTAATTTTCACGAACGACGTATTTTTGTTGTAAAATATGAGTTATACGCTTTCGTTTTCAATAAAAATTAGGTTTATATAATCTTCATAGAAATATTAAAAAATATTTAAAATTGTGGCTGGTGTAACGTATGCATGAAACAAAAGTTACCATTGATAAAAAAATGCAACGTCTTTTGATTTTTTTTTTTAATTTTTTTTCACAGGTTAATGAAATGTAGTCATTTAAAAAGAGGTTACTACTGAAATAGAGATAAAAGGGTATATTTAAATTTATGTCGTTTTCCTCTTTTCAATGGAATGACCCTTATGATGCATATCATCGAATTATAAGCCCCCACATCATTCTAAAGCAATAGAAAATTTTAGTCAGTTACTGGTTTTTAACGAAGAAACATCTTACGTTTCGATATGGAGGCTATGCTCAAATGCTGTATTTAGTTGTAATTTTTAGAGCTTCACGAAAACGCTTATTGCACTAGAACTAGTGCAGCGATTTCAAAGAGAGATATGCCGTTTCAAAGACGAAATTCCAAACCTATTGACAGATACATTTTCATAAGTAACCGATTCGATGTCTGTCGTAGACACAACGGTAAATATTGGCTTATTTTGGAGTCAAGTTTGATCCTTTAAAGTGCTCTAGCAACTTATGATTGGCAGATATAACTTTTGCTTTCAGGACATAGAATCTTTGTAGCAGTAGAAATATTATCGTGTACAAATTTTATATAAATACAACAAATATCGAACATTTTAAAGCAAAAAATTGTTGAAAAAATTTCCAAATTTTCTTGAATACCAAAAAGCTCGAAAACCGTTCGAATGATTTTGTTTTTGTTTTCTTTAATCGAAAATTCAGGTGTTTTCCTTTCGTTTCGTATATGGGAAGTATTGGTTGATATCTTCTAAGTATGTTTATTTTATTCAAATATATGGGCATAAATGCTTTTCCATACAAACTCGCTTCGTCATCATTTTGCAAACACGTGCATGTGTAAAAACAGTTAGGTGTTGGCAGAGATAAAAAAGAATACCAAAAACAGATTGCGCAGGTGAGGGGAAATATGCATAAGCTGATCGCAGCATATTTGGTACCCATGTACCTACATATACATACATATTATTATTTATTTCTGAACTGTATTTAGGAGCGTATGTAAAAAATCGAATTTAACTTAATTCATCAGGCACATAAATATTTATGTAGGTATCAAAATATCAGACACTAGAGATTTGTTTATTACTTAACTATATTTAGGAGAGCTTCCAGCTGTTTCAGAAGTCTTATGGCGCTTTCGTTTCTACAAAAATGTTGCCTTCTCATCGCCCTCTTCTTAGTGTTTATGCGTAGAGGGCAAAGAAAAGGTTGCATTTTTCGGAACAAACGAAATCGGCATTAGCTAACTTATGCACAAATCCGAAGACGAAGATAATGCGAAGACGAGCATGAACTCGAAGAGGAATACTAATACGGGGGCATAATATCAAAAGTAAGAAAAATTTCTGCAGTATGAAAGGAAATAAAAATGAATCGAAATAATGATACACGTCATGACATATACCTATTTATAAGCTGATGGTACATATGATTGAAGTTCATGTGGATCTGCTTCTCTATTGCTAAGTATTAATATTTTGCAATTCATATTGATTTCTTAAATTCAGTTCAATACAATCAAAACGAAAATATCATGTATCGGTTTTAACTTGAAAGTGATCTTAATATCACGTATTCTACGTTTAAGTTTAGCGGCTGTGACTCCGACACAGCCTGCAGGTTAAGACGAAGGCGCTGGACTGATCTTTTTTGCGTTTCAGCGACTATCTATATTAAGGTTACGATTTGTATATAGATACATACATCTGCTTTTGCTTAAGGTTATATTTTTGTCTTTTTTCCATCTACATATATCCCTGCCTCTACCCCTGTTCATTCTAATTACATTTATGTTATTCCGTTTTCCTTTCATTTTTATCTTTATACTCTATCGATAACAAAATCGATAGTAACATCCAACAAAATATCGATAACAAAACCGATACAAATATCGATAACAAAATCGATAAAAATTCGACAAAAATTTCGATAGCAAAATCGATTAGAAAATCGATAAAAATATCGATAAGAACATCGATAACAAAATCGATAAAAACATCGATAGAAAAATCGATAAATAATCGATAACAAAATCGATAACAAAAATCGATAAAAATATCGATAACAAGATCGATAAACAATCGATAACAAAATCGATAAATAATCGATAACCAAATCGATCACAATATCGATGACGAAGTCGATAAAAATATCGATAACAAATTCGATCAAAATATCGATAACAATATCGATAATCAAATCAATAACAATATGGATAAAAAATATCGATAACAAAATCGTTAAAAATATCGACTAAAAATTCGATAACAAAATCAATAAAAAGATCGATTATTATATCGATAAGTTCCGAAAATATCTATAGCAAAATCGGTAAAAATTTCGATAACAAAATCGATAAAAATATCGATAACAAAACCGATCGAAACATCAATTATTATATCGGTAAGTCCCGGGAATCCCGAAAATCTCTAATATCCCAAAATATTTCCCAGATTGAGACTCTGTGTCTCTATCTATATTTATTTTTATCTTTCTTCCCCTATCTTCATCTTTACTTTTATCGGTATCCTCATCCTCATCTTTTTCTTAATATTTATCTTTGTTTTTACTTTTATATTTATCATTTTCTTCATCTACATATTCCCCTTCACCCTTCCGTTATATAAGTAAAGTGTTTAAATTTACCTTGGTCTTCATTTTTACCTTTATCTTTACGCATCTTTGTTTTTGTTTTTATTTTAACCTTTGCCTTTATCCTTTCTTTATCTATGTACGTACTCACCTTTACTTACATTCTTGTATTGGTATTTTTCTAGGTGTTATTCTTTAACCTTTTGTAAGCAAGTTTTTGTTAAACCAACCACTTCCGCTGCACCATTTCCGTGTGCAATTTCATTTGCGCTATTTCCGTTGAATTGTCCAATTTACTCTCAACCAACCAACCGCCGCTAAAGAAGGTTCACTTCAAAAACTATTATTATTATTATTATTATTATGGGCCATATGGACCGCGACCTCTAAAGTGATCTGTTGTGCGTGGCCCTCCGCCCTATATGCGAAGGCTTTTAATGTAGTGCAGCCCTTTCAAGGGCATTTTGTTCCAAATTTCAAATGGATTAAGTGTAACACCACCCAAATTAGCTGGTCTGCGCCTAGTAAGAGCGCCATATTCACAGAGAATGTGCTCTGGCGTTTCCTCGTCGAGCTCACAAAAGCGACAGACGTTTTTTCTAAAAATGCATTTTACTGAAGTGATAGTAGTACCCAGTGAGAGTTTTGAGATCTTCTATGCCTAAGTATAGTAATTTCTTTGAAGCTTCTTTTGAAGGGCAGGTAAATCGTTTGACTTTTCTCTGCTCTGGACATTCCATTCAGTGCCTGTTGAACGTTTTGTCTACCCAGTTATTTATGATCTCCTTTATGTGTGCTTTGGTTAGCCCACAAAATACATATCGCGCACTTTCTTCAAAGGTGTATTAGTTTTTGGAAAAAATATTCAAATTTTCCATAAAAAGCGGAAATCCAATTTTTTTTACAATTTCCCAATTTACAAATACTACAGTATTAACTCATAGTTTTAGATGTTGTGATGGGGAGTAACAAAACAAAAATACTTTGAAGGCCCTGTGAAAGGTATTTGCAAGTTGAAAATATTTCTAAACCAAAGGTTTCTCAAAGACTTTCTTTTGATACCCATATTGTAATATGTGGCTTATCTTGCCAATTTATTTGAATTCAATTTTTCAAATAGATGGCAACCCGCTTCGAAAATATTTCGACAGTGCGAACTAACATACAACCAGACAGGCAGAAAAAAATTCTAAATATTTATGATTTGTCCTCTGTTGTTCTATTAAAGATCCCATATAAATTTTTCTTTGATATCTATAATGTACAGACATCGGCCTGTTACATTTTTATTATATGTATAGATCTCCATACCAAGCTTCATTCCTCTTTCATAAATACTTCCAGAAATATGAGGTATGAAAATTTCCGTTGGTGTGGGAGTTGCCATTTATTTTATATTTTAAGTTGGGCTAAATGACACCAGTGCACAAAATTATATGATGATCGGTTGGGTTGTTAAAGCGTGAAAGCGTAACAAACAAACAAACACACAAACTCACTTTCGAATTTATAATCTCAGTAAGGATTAGAAAATTTTCCAGTTGGAATTTTCTCATAAGTGCTTAGGCAGTGTTTTTTGTATACAGAAAATCTTCGGTCTTTTCGGACTTTCCATCGGTAAGGTTCGCTGCTTAAGTCTTTCGTTACGTACATACATATCGCTCATTCACTAAAAGTTTTCACTCTGCCGCAAATTGTAGTAAAAATAGATGCATATTGTCTTCTTACGCGAATCCTGCATGAGATTTTAGCACAAAAATGTATGCCCAATATAAAGCTAGATATAACGACTAATAAGCAGTTATACTTCCGGATCTATGTAATTTTTGAGTTGTGCCTCTTTTGAAGTGGGTGTGCGATATGTGTGTAATCACTAACAAAGCTAATAAATATAAATAGATACATATTTCTATTACTTAACTACCTTTTTCGTGCTTAGCAATCTGCAAAGGAAATTCCTGTGATGAATGAAGTTTTGGAGTCGTCTGCAGTTGTGTAATTAAACGCTTTATTCCATTGACAAATTGGCGATTGGCGAATTGGCGCAGCACATTCGAGCCAAATAAAAATAAAGCACTTTAAAAGGATAATTTTGACTTTTCACACAGTTTAGCGCATTTTTGCATTGACATTAGTTCTTTTTACTAAGTATTTGATTTATTTTCGTTCACTCGCTAAAGCTGTACATTTACAAGTGTGGTGGAGGTTCATAAAAAAATTACGAATTTGTATGGTCACATTTTTTTTTTCAAATTTGTATTAATTTCATATTATAAATAAAAGTGGTTGCATTTCCTTATAACTTTATTTAAAAGTTATTGTGTTTTTACACTTAATTGTTTTATTTTTAACAAAAATCAGCGTTCACTTTTCTGTTCGCACGCAAGTTATAAAAAAATAAAATTCGTGTTTAGTTTGCTAGCGATAAATATTTCTGACATACTTTCTCTTTTTATTTTACTTTATAATGGCAGGAGCTTCTGGATGTGCACAAAAACCAGCGATATTGCACTATTATTTGAGTTATAAAATTTAATATCGAAATCATCACTTTTTGTTAGACGTTCCATTAGACTCTCTAATTTTTTTACAATCTTCACCATACTAAATCGAGTTTTATTTTAATTTCTCCTTTATTGTTACAACAATACCGACAAGCTACTACTTTTTTTTAAATGCTTGCAAATGCGGCGATCAGTACTTAGCTGTTGCAGCATAGCTGGATTTTTTTAAAACACACATATATATGTATGTATACCTTCAATTGATTGCTTCGCCGAAAACTTGGTCTTCGCTTCCACCTCTTCCCTTTCGCTCATTTTCCGCATAGTTTTCTTGATTTTTTCACCGATTTACTCTCTCTTCGCTTGGAGTGTGCCCTGCATTTCTGCAGGTTATAGGATAAAATTAAAACAAGAACAGCCAAACTAGAAAAATTGTCTGCGCTTGTGTATCTGTAATCATTGCTTGAAACTTGCTCACTCCTGTCTGTTTTTAGCTTTTGTATGTGTGTGTGTTTTTTTTTTGTTGGTTTGCATTAAACACCGGTTTACAGCCGCCGTGCGAAATATTTTAGCCGCCACCTATCCGCAGAATCGCTCTGTTGCTCACGAAAGCCGGCACGCAACTGTTGCCTGACCTGTCGCAGAGTCAGCAATAAACTCACTGTTCCAGCTGCGCTCAAAATACTGGCTCTAGCAGAAACGACAACAGCAGCCTAGCTATTACATAGTGATTGGAAAAAGCACTCGAGCTCAAAATGGCTATCAGCTGTAGGAAGAAGTAGAGGAGGCGTGTAAATAGCAGAGCACCATAGCAATAGGAGAAGCAATTGGCGCAGAATCGTATTTATGTAAGGTTGGTTAGTACGAGTTGTGGTATTTTTGATTTTGTGGTATTTTCGTTTTGTTTCGCTCTCAAAATGAGTTAGTCAATTGAGTCGAAGAGACGCAGGAATTGTGAAAATCAGTGGAGCAACGCATAGTGGTGCCAAATTGGAATTTACTGTTCAGAACAGTTCAGAGCCTTTATTTTTCAACCGATTCGATTAGTTATAGGGTTCCCCTAAAATGAAAATGCGAAAAAAATTTTCAATGATTTAAAAAATTGCGAACAACATAAAATTTTTGTTTTTAATTTTTAGAAATATTTTAGGTATGTAGTTTTACAGCCTCTTAAATTTTAGTATAATAAAGCGTAAGTCTCAACGTAAATTTGATTTTTAATATTTTTTTTTGTTTTTGAAAGATTTAAATTTTTTTTATTTTTTTTAACTGCCCTTTAATGTGTAAAATTCATTAACAGGGACAGGAGAATCGATTTTGTTCAAAAATTTCTAAAACCTCTGCACTTTGCACTAAATTTTATATAAAAAAATAGAAGTTCAAAAATTTGGCTCTACAAATCTCAAAAACTCTTATATAAAAAAGTTATTATATTTTGAACAGTCAATTTCAACTTAACACCACTGTGCAACGGTGGACTTTTTAAAAACCTTCTGATTTGATATTTTTATCCCAACCCCTCTTAAAAGCCGAATTCGGCTCCAAATTTGTTTAAAAAAGCTTCTTTCTTTCTACTGACTGTCGGTAATTTTATAAAATAAGTTGTGGCTTAGTTTTAGATGAAGCATAGATGCAGGTATTTACTTGCTAATATACAGGGAATATTCTCCTCTATCTGCCTCGAAGAATACTGAATTTTAAGCATTAGATTTGATATTTCAATGAAGATGACTGGTATAGGAAGACACGTAAGACGCTTCTAATTTTTGGCATCTTTAATAACAAAAATCGTTAATTTTTGGCGATTACAATTTATTGCAGCTAGTTCTAGAATCTCGGCCGTTGTGTCTGAGTGATTAGATATGCCGTACCACTTCGCTGGACCTGGTTTTTTTAAACAATGGTCATCCCCCGGTATTTTTGCCATGAAAAAGTTTCTCATAAAATCGCTTTGAAGTTCTGAGGCGGCGTAAATTTGCCCCTCCATTTGTTTAAAAATACGAAGAGGCGCACCACAAATTGAGCAGAAGCTCGGCCAAACACTTAGCAAACGTGCAAGTTTTATGCACTAAATCATTGTCTGGGTTCCGGCGATTTGATTTCTGCAGAAGCTTTGATTTAATCTAATTAACCGTTCATGATCCGAACACGTTTTTAAGACTTAAGTGATGAGCGTATTTTTCATATTTCGCTATATAGTAGAAGAGCCGACTGCTCAAAAATATATTGCAAATCAAATAACCGAAATTCGATAGCTAGTATCTAGGGCAACTCCAAACCACCGACTTGCCAGGTCCTAGCCTGGCAGGATCATAGTAAATGATTGATGAAAAGTCATAAAATCGTAAAATATGTTCCATCTTGTCATGGAATAAAACTTTCAAATTTCGAAACATTTGAACATACTGATTCTAAAAGTAAGGACTTGCCACTTCAATTGAAATTGAATTGAATAAACAATCGTGGTACAAAGCTCAATAATATATAATATATAATATAATAATATTAAAAATAAAATGTTAATAAGCCGCAATAACATTGACAAATGAATTTTGTTTATTCAATTTGAGGACAACATATAACATATTTTTGAGCAGTCGGCTCTCGGATTATTATAAAATCTTCGGTGCCTTTAAGTATTTTGTAAATATTTAGCAGTGAAAATCCAAAACAGTCTTGTATAGCGACAGTTGAAGAGAAAGCAAACGTTTTGGGTAACCGGAAGTGGATGTCCGTGCCTAAAAATCTATAATCCTCGACAGACAAATAGACTGAGGTCAAGCTTCAACTGGGACTGCCAAGCCTCGAATGATGGCGATGTAATAATTTAGATATCTCTGGGCCGATTTTTGCTTTAAAATTATCCTTTCAAACTTTTCTACCTCCACTGTAAAAATTATTGTAGGCAATTCCAAGATAAACAATTGTTAAACAAGTTTTGGCTTTTAGACATGAAAATTGCTCAAATATGCGCCGAAGGCCTTTTATGTTAAATTTCTTGTTCCGAATGGCCGATATTTTTTCACAATATCTGATATGGGTAATTTTGAAATAAGTTGTCCATTTACGTATATATGTACGTATTATACTGATACACTCAAATATTTGCACATGGCGCTCTTCTGCTCAATTTCGTTCACTTTTTGACTCAAGGAGTAAATTATTACAACATTTGTCGTCTACTGTGTGTTATTTCTTACTTTGTATCATATTTTTGTAGTTGTAGCTGTTGTAGTTGTATAGATTCGTTCACATTTTCATGTTCCATTTGAGCATTTTTCACATTTTTGCGCAACGTATTTTATAAGCATACTTTTTTTTAGTGAAATTCTCTCTACGCCAGCGACTGCGCACATGCGCCAACAGAGCACGCAGAGTACAAGGCGAAGAGCACAGCGGCTTAAACCCACAACAAGGCTGGTAGGAAGGTTGTAAAAGCTGCAGTGGTGGAGTGGTCGGGTGGTTTATTTCGAGTTTGGCACACGCGAAAAGTCGCTGAAATATGCCACGTTTGCCTATATGAATTCAGGCTTTAATGCATACATACAAGCGTACAGATGTATTTATATACATACATACGTGTGTATACTGTTCGTTGGCAGGTTTGTTCGTTGCATATTAAAGTGCATGCAAGAATGCGTTTAATTTTGCTTTTGCTATTTTACATACTCGGAATTTGTTGCCGTAGGGAGTATGCCCTTTTTGATTCATTTTTTTTTTTTAACAATTATGGTTCATATTTTATAGCACCCTCTGCCAGTTTTTCCGAGAGACAGCATTGAAATCCTTTGAGTTCTTATTTTAAATCGCCATATACACAAGTAAAATTTGTACAATTACTTTTCAGATTTTCAAAAATAAGTTATTTTGCATAGCAAAGCGACTGGCTTGGCAGCCGTAGCTTCACCAATCTCCGCTCTCTTAATTCTTTATTGTCAATCACTGGCTTGTAATGTGCAATTTTATGCTTCTGTAAATTTTCGCGTTCGTGATATTTTTTCCTCCTTTCATGAGCAGCGCAGTTTTTTCAATGCACCTCTTCCACGTTCGTATCGACTTACATCAATATTTGTATTTTTTGCAATTTTTATTATTGTTTTTTACATTCTTTTACACCCTTACTACCGGATTGTTGGTCTGTTGGTGCTGCTGCTGCTGCTGCTGTTGTCGCGGAATCTTTCATCATCAATTCTTTCTCAATATTATGAGCTTAAGTTATGCTTTAAATATTGTTTTATTATCGAATGTACGCGGGAATTTATTGGATTTTGCATTTATTACAAGCCTTACAGCGCGATTTCTGCTCTTACGTTTTGCTTCTTTTTCGCACCTCTTCCAAGACGAATGTACCGACTATTAACTGTGGCTTATTGCGGCTGCACATTCAATTGTTCAGTTGGTCAGGCCACTGCGATTTATGATGTACATTTAAGCTGCTCAAATTACAATCATTTAATGTACAAATAAATATATTAAGGTGCACATGTATGTATTTATGCGCATCGCTGAACGCACATTTTTATGCTTTCGATGAGACAAATTGATGGACATTTCAGCGATTGTGGTCTTTCAGCCTAAAATATGTGTTAAAGTTATAAAAAAAGTAAAAGTGAAAAAGAGTATTGGCTATTTTATCTTATTTTGGTTTTCATTTATTAGTGGTTGCATTTATTGGATCGCTGATGGAGGGTTGCCGAGGCGGATTCTATCACAAAAATAAAGGAAGAAATAAACTTCGCAAGTACTTGCATGTGATGTCTT